ACTTCATATGGAATGGCAAGTGACCCCAAACAGCCAAAACAATCTTGAAAAAGAACAAAGTTGGAGGACTCACACTTCCTGATTTCAAAACTTAATACAAAGCTACAATAATAAAAAAAACAATTTGATACTGGCATGATAGGCAATAAAATGTAATACAATAGAGTCCAGAAATAAACCCTTGTGTATATCATCGATTTTCAGGAAGGATGCCTAAACACTTTGTCAAGTTCGTGTCCCACCAAAGTTTGTATGCTGAAACCCAAATCCCCAATATGACTATATTTGGAAAGTGGCTATGAGAAGGTGATATAGGTTAAATGAGACCATAAGGTGGGGCCCTAATGCAATAAGGCTGGTGCCCCTAAAAGAGGAAGAGATACCAGAGATCTCTCTCTCTCTCTACCATTAAGAACACAGCAAGCAAAAAAAAGAAAAAAAATTTTAAAAAAGAAAAACACAGCAAGAAGGTGGCCATCTGCAAGCCAGGAAGAGAACCCTCACTGGGAACTGAATAGGCTGGCACCTTACCTTAGACTTCCTGGCCTCCAGAACTGAGAAATAAATTTCTGTTGCTTAGGCCAAGCCGCCCAGTCTGTAGTATTTTGTTATAGCAGCCCAAGCTAATACATCATTTGACTGGAAAAGGAAAGTCTATTCAATAGAAACTGGCTGGGCACAGTAGCTCACGCCTATAATCCCAGCACTGTGGGAGGCTGAGGTGGGCAGATCACTTGAGCCCAGGAGTTTAAAACCACCCTGGGAAACATGACAGAACCCTGTATCTACTAAAAATACCAAAACAAACAAACAAAAAAAATAGCCAGATATGTTGGCGAGCACCTGTGGTCCTACTCAGGAGGCTGTGGTGGGAGGATTGCTTGAGCCCGGAAGGTGGAGGCTACAGTGAGCTGAGATCATGCCACTTCACTCCAACTGAGGTGACAGAGCAACACCCTGTCTCAAAAAGAAAAAAAATATATTGCTGGTTGGCCGGGTGCAGTGGCTCACACCTGTAATCTGAGCACTTTGGGAGGTCAAGGCAGGCGGATGACTTGAAGTCAGGAGTTCGAGAGCAGTCTGGCCAATGTGATGAAGCCCTGTCTTTACTAAAAACACAAAAATTAACTGGGCATGGTTGGGTGCAGTGGCTCATACCTGTAATCCCAGCACTTTGGGAGGCCGAGGCGGGTGGATCATGAGGTCAAGAGATTGAGACCAGCCTGGCCAACATGGTGAAACCCTGTCTCTACTGAAAATACAAAAATTAGCTAGGTGTGGTGGTCCACTCTGTAATCCCAGTTACTTGGGGGGGCTGAGACAGGAGAATCACTTGAACCCAGGAGGCAGAGCTTGTAGTGAGCTGAGATAGTATCATGGCACTCCAGCCTAGGCAACTGCCTCAAAACCAAACCAAACACGGCCGGGGGCAGTGGCTCACACCTGTAATCCCAGTACTTTGGGAACCTGAGGCAGGTGGATCACCTGAGGTCAGAAGTTCGAGACCAGCCTGACCAAATGGTGAAACTCCATCTCTACTAAAAATACAAAAATTAGCTGGGCCTGGTGGTGGGCACCTGTAATACCAGCTACTTGGGAGGCTGAGACAGGAGAAGCCAAGAAGCGGAGATTGCAGTGAGCTAAGATAATGGCATTGCACTCCAGCCTGGGTGATGAGAATGAAAGTTCATCTCAAAAACCAAACTAAAACAAACAAACAAAAACTGTAATACTCTTTGAAGAAAATATAATGGAAAAGCTTCATGACCTTGGACTTGGCAATGACTTTTTGCATGACACCCAAAGCAAAAGCAACAAAAGAAAAAAAATAAATGAATTAAACTTTATCAAAATAAAAACTTTTGTGCACCAAAGGAAACTTACCAAGAGAGAGAAAAGGCAACCCACAGAATGAAAGGAAATATTTGCAAATCATATATCTAATAAGGAATTAATATCTAAAATACATAAAGAACCCCTAAAACTTAACAAAACAGCCAAATTCAAAAATAGGCAAACTTGAAGAGATTTCTGCAAAGAAAATATACAAATGGTTAAGCAACATTAGCAAGATGCGAATCCAAACCACAAAGAGATAATACTTCACACCCTTTAAGATGTCTATCACCAAAAAGGCAGAAGATAACAATTTGGCAAGGACGTAGAAAAACTGGAACCTTTGTGCTTTGCTGGTGGAAAGGTCAAACAGCACAGCCACTGTGGAAAATAGTTTGACCATTTCTCAGTAAGTTAAATAATTACCATACTTTTTTTTTTTTGAGATGGAGTCTCACTCTCTCACCCAGGCTGGAGTGCAATGGCGCAATCTCGGCTCACTGCACCCTCCACCTCCCAGGTTCAAGCAATTCTCTTGCCTCAGCCTCCTGAGTAGCTGGGATTACAGGCACGTGCCACCACGCCCAGCTAATTTTCTTATCTTTAGTAGAGATGGGGTTTAAGTATCTTGGCCAGGCTGGTCTTGAACTCCTGACCTCATGATCCACCTGCCTTGGCCTCCCAAAGTGCTGGGATTACAGGCGTGAGCCACCACACCCTGCCTTTTTTTTTTTGATATGGAGTGTCACTGTCACCGAGGCTGGAGTGCCGCAGTGCAAGCTTGGCTCACTGCAAGCTCCACCTCCCAGGTTCAAGCTGTTCTCCTGCCTCAGCCTCGAGAGTAGCTGGGATTAGAGGAGTGCACCACCATACCTGTCTAATTTTCCTATGTTTTGTAGAGACAGATTTCACCACGTTGGCCAGGCTGTCCTCGACCGCCTGACCTCAAATGATTCACTCATGTCAATCTCCCAAAGTGGTACCACGCCCAGCCAAAACACTAAATTACCATATGATTCAGCCATTTCACTCCTAGGTATATAGCTAAATGTACTTAAAAGTACCTCCCAAGGGGCTGGGCAGGTGCGGAGAGGGGTGGAGGGGGCGGAGGGGTGCTGTCCCAGAGAGGGAGCGTCCCGCTCTGGAAAGTTCACTTCCCCTGTCCCAGGAGGGCGCTGCAGGAGGTCTGACCACTCCATGGATGGCATGGCGACCCCCACAGCAACCCCCATGAACCAGACTTCACCTCTGAAGTGCCTTCTGGAATTAGAAACCTGAAATGGCTGTAAGATCATGGAAAAAGGAAGAAATGGTCAACCCCTTTTCGGCCTCAGCCCGCCTCCACCCAGGTGAATAAACAGCCATGTTGCTCACACACTCATACACACACACATACACACACACATACACACAGTAGAGATTCAAAAATCTTTTACACCTATGTTCATATCAGCATTACTCACAATAGGCAAAATGTAGGAACACCCAAATGTCCAACAACAAATAAATGGATAAACAAAATGTACCATATACATTCAATGGAATATTATTTGGTTGTAAAAAGTAATGGAGGCCAGGCACAGTGGCTCACGCCTGCAATATTGGGAAGCTAAGGTGGGTGGATCACTTGAGGTCAGGAGTTTGAGACCAGCCTGAGCAATACAGTGAATCCTCAACTCTGCCAAAAAATACAAATATTAGGTGGGGCGAAGTAACTCACACCTGTTAATCCCAGCACTTTGGGAGGGTGAGGTGGGTGAATCACCTGAGGTCAGGAGTTTGAGACCAGCCTGGTCGACATGGTGAAACCTCGTCTCTACTGAAAATATAAAAATTAGCCAGGTGTGGTGGAGGGCACCTATAATCCCAGCTACTCGGGAGGCTGAGGTAGGAGAATCACTTGAATCCAGAAGATGGAGGCTGCAGTGGGCCAGGACTGTGCCACTGCACTCTAGCCTGGGCAACAAGAGCAAAACTTTGTCTTGAAAAAAAAAAAAAAAAAACCAGCCAGGTGTGGCGGTGTGCTCCTGTGGTCCCAGATACCGGGGAGGGTGAGGGGAGAGAATTGTTTGAACCTGGGAGGGTGAAGGTGCAGAACCAAGATCACACCATTGCATTCCAGCCTGGGCAACAGAGTAAGACCCAGTCTCAAAAAAAAAAAAAAAAAAAAGCAAAAAAAGTAATGGGAGTTCTGAAACAGGATACAACATGGAAAAACCTTGAAAAGATTATGCTAAATGAACTAAGCCAGACATAGAAAGAGACACAGATTACATGATTCCACACATATTTATGTTCCTAGAATAGACAAATTCAAAGAGACAGAAAATAGAATTGCGTTTACCAGCAGCGGGGGAAAAGGGGGAAATAAAGAATTATTGTTTCACAGATACAGAGTTTCTGTTTGGGATAATAAAACAGTTCTGGAAATACATAGTGGTGATGGTTACACAACACTATGATTGTACTTAATGCCTCTGAATAGTACACTTAAAAATGGTTAAAATTGTAAATTTCACATTATATTTCACCACAATAAAAAAGGCAACCTCAACTCTATTAACATAAAAAGTATAAATAATATGATTGTTTTATTTATTTATTTTTTAAGACAGTGTTTCGCTCTATCACCCAGGCTGGAGTGCAGTGGCACAATCTTGACTCACTGCAACCTCTGCCTCCCAGGTTCAAGCAATTTTCCTGCCTTAGCCTCTGGAGTAGCTGGGATTACAGGTGCCCACCACCACACCTGGCTGGTTTTTGTATTTTTCGTAGAGGCAGGGTTTCACCATACTGACCAGGCTGGTCTCAAACTCCTGACCTCAAGTGATCCACCCAACTTAGCCTCCCAAAATGCTGGAATTACAGGCATGAGCCACCATGCCAGGCTGGTATATTTTTAAATCTACAACATGTAAAAATGTTCCAATATGTGGTATTATCTTCAGTGTGAATTTTCTGATATTGAGAAAATAGCAAAAGTGAAGATCCTAGGTGCCGCAGTGACAAGCATTACAGTATTTTCTTTTCAAAATGCTCTCCAGTATGTCTCAAAGAAAACATTCTAAATCAGCAGCAATGAATTTTTTTTTCTAAGTGGGAGAGATTACAGGAGATTCTTTTTTGCTCACTTTCTCAATTTCTCTAAAATGAACATGCACTGCTTTTGACGTAAGAAAAGGGGTTTCTTTAATTAGAAATGCTCTTTCACCCTGTGAAAACATTGTGTGGATAATCAATAAAGGGCAGAGTCAGGTGCTGGGGGCGCATGCAGGAAGCACTCAACTGGAATCTGCCCTCAGACACTGCTCCCGTTACATGGAGAAGTCCTCCCGGAGGTGAATCCTCTGATGCTGACACATGTTGGAACTGTGCCGGAAGGCCTTCCCACACTCACTGCACTTGTAGGGTTTCTCTCCGGTGTGGATCCTCCGGTGCTGGATCAAGTAAGTGCTCTGGCTGAAGGCTTTCTTGCAATCACTGCATTTGTAAGGTTTCTCTCCATGGTGTGACCTTTGGTGGTGAATGAGTCTGGAACTGTTGTGGAAGGCCTTCCCACACTCGCTGCACTTGTAGGGCTTCTCTCCTGTGTGGATTCTCTGATGTTGGATGAGGTGTGTGCTCTGGCTGAAAACTTTGCCACAGTCATTACATTCATAGGGCTTCTCTCCAGTGTGGCTTCTCTGATGTTCAACAAGTTTGGTTTTTTGAATGAAAGCTTTCTCACATTCATTACATTTGTAGGGTTTCTCTCCAGTATGAATTCTCTGATGTTGGATGAGGTTAGAGCTTTGGGTAAAGCCTTTGCCACATTCCTTACACTCAAATGGCTTCTCTCCAGTGTGAGTCCGACGATGTCGGATGAGGATTGAGCCATCGCTGAAGGCTTTCCCACAGTCATGACATTTATAGGGTTTCTCTCCAGTGTGGATTCTCTGGTGATAAATAAGGGAAGAGTAGGCACTGAAGTGTTTCCCACACTCACCACACTTGTAGGGTTTCTCCCCGGTGTGAATCCTTTGATGCTTCATGAGGTTGGGCCTCCGATTGAATGTCTTTCCACATTCATCACACCGGTAGGGAATCTCTCCTGAGTGCATCCTTCGGTGATTGATGAACTCACAGCTCTGGCTGAAGGCTTTTCCACACTCATCACATTTGTAGGGCTTCTCTTCACTGTGAAGCCGCTGATGCTTGACAAGGTTGGCACTGTACCTGAATGTTTTCCCACAGTAACTACAATAATGCAATTTTTTCCCAGTAGGAATTTTCTGATCTTCTTTAACAACTAAGTTTGCACTGAAGATTTCCCCAGAATCACGAATTGCATTTGTTTTTTTTGACCTGTGTACACGCTTATGGTTGTTGAGATATGATCTCTGTTCAAAACTTTGCTCACATATATCACATTTGTGGGGTCTCTGGTCGGGAACAGGTCTTGACACCAACCTGAGGCTTTCCCCAGACTCTCTGCTGCTCTCCCCTTTGGTCAGTGTGACTGGCCTGTTTTGCTCCACTAGCTTTTCCAGGCTCCCCTCTGGCTTCCTGGCACGATTAGAAGCATCTACTGGCTCAGATCCCTGGGGAAAAATCCCCCTCAGATGGCCCAGTTCTTCCTCATCAAATGTCTCCCGTGAAGTCAGCTCCTTGTACTCAGTGCTGGTCCCAAGAGCTGAAACAAAAAACAGAACATCTAAGGGTCATCTGCTCTGACTCTGGAAGGCAGGCATGAGATGTTGCTGGCCACATCTGATCATCTCCAAAGTCACAACAGCCTTGCAAAGATGACAGTCTGTAGCTCAGAGCCTTACACAGCTTATCCAGGGTCATGGTCATACAGCCCTTCAAACATCCACTCTTTTTTTCTTTGATTTGACACTCACACAACAAACTTCTCCTGCGTGGCCACTCCCCAAGAATGGAGAGTGACAAGTGCCCAAGTGGGGTCCTGCCACATGGCCCCTCAGAGACTGACACCAGCAACCACACTCAGGATTCATTAGTCCTGGCCCCTACTTGCCAGCTGAGTCACCTGAGGCAACAACTCACCTACCTTTCTGAGCCTTGGTTTCTCCATCTGCGACCACATGGCACTGTCATGAGAACAAAATAGAGTAACACAACAGACTGACCATGAAGCACTCAGCCCAGTGCCCAGCACAGTGAGTTCCAGGTGCAAGCAGCTCATGACTCCCACTTTCTTTTCTTTTTTTTTGAGATGGAGTCTTGCTCTGACTCCAGGCTAGAGTGCAGTGGCATGATCTCAGCTCCCCGCAACCTCCGCCTCCCAAGTGATTCTCCTGCCTCAGCCTCCCAAGTAGCTGGGATTGCAGACGTGTGCCACCACGCAAGGCTAATTTTTTGCATTTTTAGTAGAGACGGGGTTTCGCCATGTTGGCCAGCCTGGTCTTCAACTCCTAACTTCATGATCCGCCCACCTTGGCCTCCCAAAGTGCTGGGATTACAGGCGTGAGCCAGCACGACCGGCTGACTGCCACTTGCATCACTGCTCCCTTCCCAGTCCCATGGGGTCTATCCTTCTACCTCTTGCTTGGCTCTGCACTGCACATGAACAGGTGCTGAACACCAATATATGCCAACATGTGCAGCAGATAGTGCTCACATACTGCTACAGGAGCCGATGCTGGAGCTGCTGCTTTGGAGGACGGTTCGGCAACCTCATCTAAAGCTATTCTATGCACATGCTGACCCAGTGACTCTGCTCCCAGGTACACATCCACCAGAAATGTATTCTGGGCACCAGAGAGATGCATGCACAGGAACGGCCACAGCAGTTCCTCTACAACCCCAAACTGGGGACAACTGAATGTCCTCCACAAGTAGAAGGGAACATAAATTGTGGTATGTTTGTATAATAGAACAATGGCAACCAAACAGACCACACTGCTGCTCCATGAAACATAATGTTCAGCAAAAGATGCCCTGTGTGAGTCAAGACAGAAAAATCCGAAGGGTGAAGAGGCCTCTTGCGACAGGAGACAGAAAGAAGGCTCCTGTGGGGAGCAGTGGGAAATGACAGGAAAGCCAGGAGGATCCTGGGGAGCTGAAAACGTTCTGTATTTTAATCTGAAGAATGATTTTTTTTCATAAAAATTCACTGAGTTATAAACTTAGGGTTTGTCCTATTTCTATAGATATTTACATCCAAATAAGCAAATTTACAAAATAAGAAGTCCTTTGAGCCAGTAGTTCCTTCCTAGGACATCATCAGACACATGCAAAAAGGTGACCATCAGAGCTATCCAGAGTAAAATTAGACAACAATCTTCTGACCAGCACTTCCACTGAAGACGCAATTGAGAAATGGAAACACATTCTCATGCGCACAGAAATGGAAACACATTCCGTGTACATATCTGCACAGCAGAATGCACTGTAATTCCTGTTAAGAAGCAGTGTCGGCTGGGCGTGGTGGCTCACGCCTGTAATCCCAGCACTTTTGGAGGCCAAGGTGGAAGGATTGCTTGAGCCCAGGAGTTTGAGACCAGCCTGGGCAATACAGTGAAACCCCGTCTGTATTAAAAATACAAAAATTAGCTGGGCGTGGTGGTGGACGCCTGTAGTCCTAGCTACTTGGGAGGCTGAGGCAGGAGAATTGCTTGAACCCAGAAGATGGAGGTTGCAGTGAGCTGAGATTGCACCACTGCACTCCAGCCTGAGCAACACAGCAAGACTCCATCTCCAAAAAAAATAGTAGCAGTATCGGTCAGGTGCACACACCTGTAATCCCAGCACTTTGGAAGGCCAAGGCAAGAGAATTGCTTGAGCCCGGGAGTTCAAGACCAGCCTGGGCAACACAGTGAAACCTTGGGTCTGCAAAAAATATAAAAATTAGCCAGGTGTGGTGACACATCCCTGTGTTCCCATCTATTTGGGAGGCTGAGGTGGGAGGATCACTTGATGCAAAAGGTCAAGGCTGCAGTGAACCATGATCACACCCCTGCACTCCAGCCTGGGTGACAGAAGGCAACCCTGTCTCAAAAAAACAAAACCAAAAAAAACAGCGTCCTTACATAGCAGTGGAAAGGCCAGTGCTAGAAAGGGAATAATAGAAATATACTAGAACACAACTCTGTCTGGGTAGTGAGATTCAGGGTGATGTGTATTCTCTCCCTTTTCCGTAGTGTATTAATTTAGAAGAGAGGGGAATGAAGTGATACTCTCCATCACTAGGCTCTATAAGTTCTGGAGGGCAGGGTTCTGTGGGATTCCGCAGATCCTGACCTCCCCTTACAGCACTCCTGGTCTGCACCTACTCACTCCTCTCTACCCGGGACCTGCCTGGAATGCCCATTCCTACTTTCCACAGAAATGCTGCCCTGGCCACACCTTCCTAGAAGATTCTGCTCAAGAATCTCCCCAACAAGGTACCCAAACTGAGAGAGGTCACCTGGGGTTCAGCAGAAGCCGCTGTCAGGCCTCCTGTGCTAGCCCCAATGCATCTTCCCCACAAACTCCTGAGTCATTAACCAGACACCCTGGACCCCAACAAATGCTCGTTCAGCAACTTGAGTTGGGGAGTAGATCCCCTCACGCACCTGGGCTGTTGACTCTCAGGTACTCTCTCCCAGAAGTGCCCTGCACATCCAGGACCCAGGGCTCATCCCCTCGCTCCAACTGTGAGATCACTCCAGGCTTGGGGCCTGCAGGTCCTACTCCTGGGAAGGAGACAGGGCCTGGGGTTGGTACCAAGGACACCGGGCAGCACCTAGTGCTGTCTTACCCTGGGGCTGCAGGGGAAGGGAGGTACAGGTAGAGGGGTGATGGAAGCCTGGGTACCCTCTGGAGGTCACTGAGATTGGGCTGGGGCAGTCCTGAAGATGAAGGTCTGAGCAGAGGGGAACAAGAGCTCAGGGGTTCCCTCTACTAGAAAGTGTGCAACTCTGATGCCCCAGTTTCCCCACCCCACCAGGGAGGGGTCTGCCTGGAACCTGGGGCGAGAGGGAAGGGAAAGGCTGATTCAGGAAGGTCCCAGCACCATGCCTCCCCTCATCTTCTCAGATCAGATGCCTGCCTGGGATAAAGGTCATTACCTACCTCTGCACCCAGGGGGTGAGGCCCACAGCCCAGCCTCCTTAGCCCCCAGGGCTGTTCCCAGAGCTGAGTCCTGGTGAGGGCCTTACCCAGTGAGACTAAGTTCCCGTAGGTCTCCAGCATCACATCCCTGTAGAGGCCCCTTTGAGCAGGGCCCAGGCGGCCCCATTCCTCCCGGGAGAGGAGCACAGCCACGTCCTCGAAGGTCACCTCGGTCTGGAATGACAGGGACTGCTGCAGCCCAGATGTAGTCCAGAGTGGGCTGGTAGGGGCAGGGGAGGATCAAAAGCATGCTAAAGGCAGCAGCACAGTGGGTAGCCTGACCCATCTGCCACTAAGCCAGCTAATACAACCTAAGAGGTGGCTATGTGGGGTTCCCAGGGCCACCCCTACCATCATGTCAGCACCCCAAACCAGAGATACCTGACAGTGTTTGTTAAGGAAAGCCCTGGGTAAAGACTTCACAACTCCCAGGATGACAGATACTCACCTGGGGTGGGGCAGACAGGAACAAGGCTGCCATTGCCTGAGTCTTGGGCTTTCCAGGGCAGTGGGCAAGACCTGGGTACTCAGGTGCTGAGGGAAGAGAACAGAACAAGTGGAGGCCCAGTCTGGCCACTTCTTCCACAGGTCAAGTGACTTGGTGCTGCCATAAACAGCCCTGCCTGCCTCACTGGCTCACACCTGCCGATCACAGTGGAGATACTGCTGGACACTCAGGCACAGACTTTACTCTTTGCCTGGGGCTGCCCTCTCCAGCCCTACTTTTTTTTTTTTTTTTTTTTTTGAGACAGGGTTTCTCAGTGGCCCGGGCTGGAGGACAGTGGTGTGATCTCAGCTCAGTGGCGTGATCACTGCAGCCTTGATCTCCCAAATTCAAGTAATTCTCTCACCTCAGTCTCCTGAGTAGCTAGGACTACAGGCTCATACCACCACAACCAGTTAATTTTTGTATTTTTTATACAGATGAGTTTCACTATTTTGCCCAGGTTGGTCTTGAACTCTTGAGTTCAAGCAATCCTCCTGCCTTGGCCTCCCAAAGTGCTGGGATTACAGGTGTGTACCAAAGTGCCCAGCCTCCAGTCTCACCTGTACTGCCTGCTGCCCTCAGGCTGTCTATCCCCCTCCTCTTCTCTGGCATGCTAAGCTGTGTCATTCAGGAGGAGAATGACAATACTCATTCACCTTAGCTGGAAGAATGAAGACAAAATGTTAAGGGCCAAGGAAGAAAACAAAATTAAAAACAACAGAAGGGGCCAGCCTTGGTGGCTCACACCTGCAATCCTAGTGCTTTGGGAGGCTGAGGACGGCTTGAGCCCAGGAATTTGAGATAAGCCTGAGTAACATAGGGAGACCTCAATGATATAAAAAAAAATTAGTCGGCTGTGATGGCACACACTTGTAGTCCCAGTTACTCGGGAGACTGAGATGGGAGGATCACTTGGCCCAGAAAGTGGAGGCTGCAGTGAGCCATGATCGCACCACTGCACTCCAGTCTGGGTGACAAAGCAAGATTCCAGCCTGGGTGACAGAACAAGACTCCATCCCCCCCAAAAAAAGAGAGAGAGCAGGGCACCAAGATGTGCAGCAAGTACTTCCCATGCCTGGAACATGGTGGCCCTAAGAGCTGGGAGCAGCCCAGGACAGCCCAGTGCTCCTGTGCCAGGTGTTGTCCAAGGTCTCCTGCTGCACAGAGTAAAACCTCTACGTGGCTAAGCAAAACCCTGTCTCAAAATATATAAATAAAATAAGATTGACTCACTTACCAGAAGCACGAGACTCTCGGATTAGATATACATGATGCACCTATTTGGCCTAAAATAAAATAACACAGAAAAGCTAAATATTAGTAAATGTTAGATCAAATGCTAGTTAAAATAAAGCTATGGTAACTACATATCTTTTCTGTATCTTTAAAGCTTTTTGTTGAAGTATATGTATATTTAAAAAGTTGACAAATCCTGAGTACACTGTTCAGTGGACCATCACAAACTGCACAAACCCACGGGACCAGCACCAGGGTCAAGAAAGAACAGAACCAGGCAGGGCATGGTGGCTCACGCCTGTAATCCCAGCACTTTGGGAGGCCGAGGCGAGCAGATCACTTGAGGTCAAGACTTCAAGACCTGCATGGCCGACAAGGCAAAACCCTATCTCTACTAAAAATACAAAAACTTGCCAGGCGTGGTGGTGCGCACTTGTAATCCCAACTACTTGGGAGGCTGAGGCAGGAGAATCACTTGAACCCGGGAGGTGAAGGTTGCGGTAAACCAAGAGAATGCACCACTGCACTCCAGCCTGGGCGACAGAGCAAGACTCCATCTCAAAAAAAAAAAAAAAAAGAAAAGAAAAAAAAGAAAGAGTAGGACCTAGTCCCGATCGTCCTCCTGTCCCTGCAGTCACAGCTTCCAAACCCCACCTCTGAAAAGGTAAACCTCTATCCTGACTCTACACCACAGATCAGTTATGATGTTGGCTTCTTCCCAGTAATGTGGCGTTTGTGAGCTTAATATATCTCGGTGCATCTGATTCAGCTATATTCACACCAATCAAAACAGAACTGAAGCCGGGCATGGTGACTCACACCTGTAATCCCAGCACTTTGGTAGGCCGAGGTGAGTGGATCGCTTGAAGCCAGCAGTTAAAGACCAGTCTGGCCAACATGGTCAGTCTCTACATGGTCTGTTTCTACTAAAAATACAAAACAACAGGCTGGGCGAGGTGGCTCACACCTGTAATCCCAGCACTTTCGGAGGCCAAGGCAGGCGGATCACCTGAGGTCAGGAGTTTGAGACCAATCTGGTCAACATGGTGAAACCCTGTCTCTACTAAAAAAGTAAAAAATTAGCTGGGTGTGCTGGCATGTGCCTGTAGTCCCGGCTATTTGGGGGACTGAGGCAAGAGAATTGCTTGAACGCGGGAGGCAGAGGTTGCAATGAGCCCAAATCATGCCACTGCACTCCAGCCTGAGCAACAGAGTGAGACTACATCTCAACAAACAAACAAACAAACAAACAAACAAATTAGCCAGGCATAGTGGTACATGCCTGTAGTCCGAGCTACTCGGGAGGCTGAGGCAGGAGAATCACTTGAACCTGGCAGGCGGAGGCTGCAGTGAGCCAAGATGGCACCACTGTCCTCCAGCCTGGTGAGAGCAAGACTCCATCTCAAAACAAACCAAACAGAAAACAAAATCAGCACTGAAAGCAAAAATTACTAATAGGAATTAAAAAACTACTGCATATTACTAAAAGTCCACCAAAAAGCTGTAATAATTATAAACAGGTATAGATCTACCAAGGAAGAACTGGTAAGTCCTCCTCTAAAATGAGATTTTTAACACACTTCCCTCAGAAACAAATGGGTCAAGTAGAGAATCTCATGCTTAAAATATAGAGAACACATGTTATTTTTCAACATATTGAACATCACCAAAGAAAAAAGTAACAGAGATAATTTCAACAAATCCCAAAGGAATATATCATTTGGCAAAACAATTTCTACCCATATTGTTGTTATATTAGAAATAAGATGAAAAGTTATCCTCTCGCCAAAAAAATACAGAAATGGAAACTAAAGTAGAAACAGAACCAAGCTTACCTAAAGAAAATTGTGTATCCTTAATACACTCATTTTAACAGGCAAGACTGAAATAAATAATCTAAGTATTCAACAAGAAATCAGATAAATAAAAAGCAGGAGTTGCAATTCTCGTAGCAGATAAAATAGATTTTAAAGCAACAAAGATATCAATACAACAACAAGAGCTAACGATCCTAACACCCAGATACATAGAGACTTAGATTCAATGAGACAGAAAATTAAAAAGGATATCAAGGACTCGAACTCAGATCCGGAACAAGTAAACTTAATAAATATTTATAGAGCTCTCCACTTCAAATACATAAAATAAACATTCTTGTCAATACCACATCACACCTACTCATAGGTCTAAATGAAACATTGATTGGCCATTATTAATACCCATTTTTTTTTCAGAATAAAGCAATATTTCTGTTCACCCTCCCTCTCTCTCTTCCTCTTTCTTTCTCTCCTTTACTCATTTTTTTTTTCTTTCCTTCTCTCAAAAAAAAAAGAAATCAACTTGTAAACCTCTAGATCCAGGTCGGCAATGTCTCTCTCATTGCTTGAATTCCTTCCTTCCCTTCCCTCCCTCCCTTCCTCCCTCCCTCCCTACCCCCCTTCCTCCCTTCCTTCCTTCATCCCTTCCTTCCTCCCTCCCTTCCTCCTTCCCTTCCTTCCTGCCTTCCTCCCTTCCTCCTTCCCTCCCTAAAAAAAAAAAACAAAACAGTCTCTCAGACCATAGTGCAATCAAGTTAGAATTCAAAATTCAGAAACTAACCCAGACCCTCACAGCATGGAAACTGAACAACTGGCTCTTGAATGATGACTGGATAAACAATGAAATGAAAGCAGAAATAAAGATGTTCTTCGAAACCAACGAGAACGAAGACACAACATACCAGAATCTCTGGGACACATTTAAAGCAGTGTCTAGAGGAAAATACATAGCAATAAATGCCCACATGAGAAGCAAGGAAAGATCTAAAATCGACACCCTATTGTCAAAATTGAAAGAGCTGGAGGAGCAAGATAAAAAAAACTCAAAACCTAGCAGAAGACAAGAAATAATTAAGATCAGAGCAGAACTGAAGGAGATAGAGACACAAAAAAACCTTCAAAACATCAATAAATCCAGGAGCTGGTTTTTCAAAAAGATCAAAAAAATAGACAGACTACTAGCCAGATTAATAAAAAAAGAAAAGAGAGAATAATCAAATAGATGCAATAAAAAACGATAAAGGGGATATCACCACAGATTCCACAGAAATACAAACCATCATCAGAGATTATTACAAACAACTCTATGCACATAAACCAGTAAACCTGGAAGAAATTGATAAATTCCTGGACACTTGCATCCTCCCAAGCTAAACCTGGAAGAAGTTGAAACCCTGAATAGACCAATAACAAGGGCAGAAGTTGAGGCAGCAATTAAGAGCCTACTACCCAAAAAAAGCCCAGGTCCAGATGGGTTCACAGCCGAATTCTACTGGATACAAAGAGGAGCTGGTACCATTCCTTCTGAAACTATTCCAAACAATCCAAAAAGAGGGAATCCTTCCCAAATCATTTTATGAGACCAACATCATCCTGATACCAAAACGTGGCAGAGACTCAACAAGAAAAGAAAACTTCAGGCAAATATCCATGATGAACATAGATGCAAAAATCTTCAATAAAATACTGGCAAACTGATTGCAACAGCACATCAAAAGCGTATCCACCATGATCAAGTAGGATTCATCCCAGGGATGCAAGGCTGGTTCAATATCCACAAGTCTATAAACATAACTCACCACATACACAGAACCAAAGACAAAAACCACATGATTATCTCAATTGATGCAGAGAAGGCCTTTGACAAAATTCAACAGCCCTTTATGCTAAAAACCCTCAATAAACTTGGAATTGACGGAACGTATCTCAAAATAATAAAAGCTATTTATGACAAACCAACAGCCAATATCATACTGAATGGACAAAAACTGGAAGCATTCCCTTGAAATCTGCCACTAGACAAGGATGCCCTCTCTCACCACTCGTATTCAATACAGTATTGGAAGTTTTAGCCAGAGCAATCAGGCAAGAAAAAGAAATAAAGGGTATTCAAATAGGAAAGGAGGAAGTCAAACTGTCTCTATTTGCAAACAACATGATTGTATATTTAGAAGACCCCATCGTCTCAACCCAAAATCTCCTGAAACTGATAAGCAACTTCGGCAAAGTCTCAGGATACAAAATCAATGTAAGAAAATCACAAGCATTCCTATACACCAATAACAGACTTAAAGAGTGCCAAATCAAGAACGAACTGGCATTCACAATTGCTACAAAGAGAATAAAGTACCTAAGAATACAACTAACCAGGAACATAAAGGACCTCTTCAAGGAGAATTACAAACCACTGCTCAACGAAATAAGAGAGGACACAAACAGATGGAGAAACATTCCATGTTCATGGTTAGGAAGAATCAATATCGTGAAAATGGCCATACTGCCCAAAGTAATTTACAGATTCGATGCTATCCCCGTCAAGCTACCAATGACCTTCTTCACAGAATTGGAAAAAACCACCTTCAACTTCATATGGAACCAAAAGAGAGTCAGCATAGCCAAGACAATTCTAAGCAAAAAGAACAACGCTGGAGGCATCACACTACCGGACTTCAAACTATACTAAAAGGCCACAGTAATCAAAACAGCATGGTATTGGTAACAAAACAGAAATATAGACCAATGGAAAAGAACAGAGGCCTCAGAGGCAACACCACACATCTATAACCATCTGATCTTTGACAAACCTGACAAAAACAAGTAATGGGGAAAGGATTCCCTGTTTAATAAATGGTGTTGGGAAAACTGGCTAGCCATGTGCAGAAAGCAGAAAACTGGACTCCTTCCTGACACCTTACACTAAAATTAACACCAGATGGATTAAAGACTTACACATAAGACCTAACACCATAAAAACCCTAAAAGAAAATCTAGGCAAAACCATTCAGGACATAGGCATAGGCGAAGACTTCATGACGAACACCAAAAGCATTGGCAACAAAAGCCAAAATAGACATATGGGACCTAATCAAACTCCACAGCTTCTGCACAGCAAAAGAGACAGTCATTAGCGTGAATGGGCAACCAACAGAATGGGAAAAAATTTTTGCAATCTACCCATCTGACAAAGGGCTAATATCCAGAATCTATAAAGAACTAAAACAGATTTACAAGAA